TTTTTTTTTTTTTTTTTTTTTTTTTTTTTTTTTTTTTAGGGAAGCCTTTCCGAAATGGTAAAGGAGGAAATGTGGTAGTATGCCTCCAAAACAGGGTGGCGTTTAGCAGGGCTGGCTGGGGTGATGTTCAAACATTGCACTGCTCTATTCCAGCAGGAGAAGACCGGTGTCCAGCAGCCTCTGCACCGCTCAGGAAACCTCAGCGCCGTCCTGGAGGGAATTACTCCATCATACCAGCCGCTCCCGTGTTTGCTCCCTAATGCGTAGACAGAAATAGCCCCCTGCCTTCGACAGATAACAGAGGCGGCTCGACTCCCTGGTGTGATTACTAAAAGGGAGCTTGGGAGCGAGAATAGAAGAGGGGAAGAGGGCGCGCTGGCTAGTCTCAACAATGACAAAGCCGTGGGAAGGACAATGCGAATCCATGGTGATTAATTTGCACAGGAGGAATGAGGGGGCTGGAGCTCTGGCAGGCATCAAGCTCTCCCCTGTTGCCATAGCGCTGCTGGCTGAGCAAGAAGAGCGGGGGCTGACGGGCTGCCTTCTAGGAGGATCTCCTCGCGTCTCCTCGGAAAGGCATCCTGTCCGCGTGGAGGCAAGGACGTTTTGAAAGAACGGAGAGCATAGGAACCTGATGGGGAAATCCTCTCCTGGACATTAGCAAAGCTCTTCCTGTTCCTTCCCTCCTCCCCTATAAAGAGACGAAGAGATGTGACCCTCTGGGGAAGGAGCTGGACTGCTCTTACTGTCAGAGTTAGTGTCATTGCACACCAAGACTAGACTAAAGCCAGACTCCCCAAAACAGAGACGTGCAATACGGCCTGGCTGAGCAGGAAGAAAGTCTCTCCGCTCTTACGTCTAAGGTTTTCCATACTAAAATAAACTAAGCAGCCACTCCCTGCTTCTGAGTCTCAGATGGGCGACAATCATTTTTAAGGATACGAGAAAATGACTCAGAGGTAGATTCATACTTTGCTGGTACAGATACTGGAGTGAGCATAAGCCCTTAACAGCCTAAGAGGCAGTCTGGAAGGGAAGTTACTCCAGAAAGAGGTACTCATGTGCGACCATGTCACTGGGCACCGAGTCCCGCTACTGGAGCCCCCTTCGGTCTCAGGATTCATATTATTACAGTCATTGTCGAAACGCTCCACACCAGGGATAGCTTCATAATCACACTGGACTAAATTCAACAAGGATGCTAGTCGGAAGGAAGATTGTTCATATCTTTCTAAATGGTGTGACTAGGGCTAGTTTGTTTACATAGCCGCCAACGAAAGTAAATCAGACTTCTGGATACTGACCCTCGGCAGAGCTCATTTCATGTACGGACACACAGCTGGACAGTACTGGATATGTCAGCCCTGGCACTAATTTCATGGCCATGATTATGGAGCAGACTGAATGCAAAATAAATCCCTCGATGATGTACAGACCTATTTAGCCATGACCAAAGAAACAAGCATTCCTGAAGACGGTTGCTAAGAGCAACGTGCCTTAAGCACCACCTTTAGACCAGATGGAAGCAGAAAATAAGTGCTACTAGGAATTCAGCACGCGAGAACAGTAACAGCATCGTGACTTTTTAAAACGTTACCAAGTCTCCCGTCAACATGAAAGCATGCGAGGGAGGAATTAGGGGGATGAGGGGAGAGATTTTAAAAAAGCACCCACCCCATACACACACCCATATACACACACACAACACCCATATACACACACACACACACACATACACACACAAATGCTACTCCTCATAGGCAAAAACAGAGCTTTCAGTGTCCCATGGAAATGGACGCAGCGGATGCTGGAGCCAGTGCCGTCTATCCCTGCGTCCAGCAGTACCGTCAGGGAGGCAGGAGGCGTCGCTTGCCGGAGGATGCAACTTTCCGCTTTCACCCTGTTCCGCTCCCCGCCGCGGTGTCCGCGGAGCGTCCCCGAGGGACGCCGGGCCCTGCCCCGTCCTGCCATTTCCTACGGCAAAACTTCTGTAGGGAAGGCAGCAGCAGAAATCTCTCACTCTCTCCTACTCTCTTACAGACAGACAGAGCTGTTAAGATTACACACACACGCACTCAGAGCTGTTAAAATGGGTCCTGTGATCTGAGAAACCACTTTGTTCTCCTTGAAATTTCATGCAGATCTATGACTCTTTTATTTTATTTATTTATTTATTTATTTATTTATTTATTTATTTATTTATTTATTTATTTTGGTAGGAGTGGGGAGAGACGCGAGCGAAGGGAAGGGTGACTCATATAACTTTCCCGAAAGGGAAAAGATTTTCTTTTTCTGAAACATATAGCAAAGGCCATTCTTTATCACTGAACAAAGCATAAATCATGTCTCCTCTAACATTAAATGCCACTGAAGTGACAGGCAACTAGGCAGGCGCTGCATGTGAAACCAGCCTACGGGTCTCCACTTTCAGCCCCGTGTCCATACGGAATCTGCTCCGATGGACCAGACCTGGGCGACAGAAACTTAACAACTAGTTGACAGGTTTTAACTAAGCAAGCACCGTGTTAGCCGTGCTTCCCACTACAGCAGAATCAAAACAGATGCATTACGAGGAAGCCACGCAAGCTCCGCAGAGCCTTAGGCAAACACGTTTGCCAGTCATTTTTCTGTCTATTGTTATTATAATGATCATCAGCAGCATGCCGTTACTACGGCTACAATGAGCTGCAGCTACAGAAAACAACACATACAGCAATTCATCCCTCCGGATGCAAAATAAAGAGGGACTTCGGTGCCTGACTCCGGGAGCACGTCCCGGCTCTCCCCCAGCACCCGCTTCTGAGACAATCTTACGTATATATCGCATGCCGCTTTAAACGCGCGATGAAAAAGTGTCGGGAAAGCTTACCAAATCTTAACACATGTGTGGTTCCTTGGGAATATCCAATCCACAGTAAGCAAAGAAGGAGTCTAATGATGCATCTGAAGACTGGATTAGTTAGAATAGGGGGAATAATCTTCATGATGTTTCTATGCACACACGCGCTGCCTTACTTCCCCCTTCTAAGCCGTCAGGTTTCCCGGTAGGGTAAGAATGAGGATACGTAAATTGCTGGCCCTCAGACACGATCACGGCATGGTCACAGAGAGAGGAGAGAGTCTACGCTTCCCAAACCCATTAGCAATCCCTGCATGTTCTTCATTCACTGCGCCAAGGAGCAACCTTCAACTGCAAGGAATGGTGGGACATCCATGTTAGTCGGGGGAGAATCCTTGAGAAATCCAAACACACACAATGTCCAGCCGAGTAAACCTGGGAGGCAAGAAAGGAGGAAAATCAATAGGTAATCCAGCTCGAGAAATCGCTGAGGTATCGCCACATAGCGAGAGTCAATGAGCACCAGCCGTTTTACTGGTGAAGCTTTTGCCGTGCTCCCATTCTACTGCACTGCTGCACAGCTTCTGACGCGAAGCCAAGATTAAGTGAGAGAAATTGAGATAGCTCTTCTCTTCTTAAGGCTGCCTGCCAGACAGCCTTCCCCATTTCTATTATGCAACCGATCCGATCGCCTAGCGTTGTCGGAGGAGAAAACAACTCGTTTTTATTTACATGTTTCTAATTGCTCTTGATATTTCAGTTGCTCTGAACAATAGCTGTTTTCTGCTAAGAGTCTGTGGAAGGGGGAGCGGGTGGGGGCGCAGGGAGAGAAGAGAAGCAGTGGTATAAAAATCAATTCATGCATCTGGCTGGTCGAATAGCTGTACTTAGCTTCGGAGTTGTCAGAGAGAAGCTTAACAATTATGTCATGCAGGTTATTACAATAAGATTTAGGCTAAAAAGGGTCGTGATATTTGCACTCTGTAACTATTGCTTGCTGGTATTAATGCATGAAATAGTGTAAATATGCTGGCTTGTATACTGACTGTCCTTAGGAACTCGTTCCAGACCCAGTGGTTACGGAACACCGACCACCTTTTGCAAAGTAAACAGGAATTGGCAGCGCTGCCACAGCCTGATGCTGAAAGCACAGACCTATACTTCAGTTTCTCTAAACTTACTTGAAATTGTAATATTGCTTAAGTGGCAGAGTAACTTGTGGTTTTAACAGTTTGTATTTTGCACTCCACTCTGTCTTTTTTTTTTTTTTTTTTTTTTTTTTTCCAAAACTCAACTTGTCTTTCATTCCAGTACTATGGATAAGTGCTACTGTTCTTCCCTGAACTGAGGGATCTATGTAGTTTAGCATTTTGAAAAACACACAGAAAACAACAGCGCTTGTTAGTTTACTTATGGGATTCTGAATTTGTATCTGCAAATGCAGCCATGGACTGCAGTCATGGCCAGGTATTCCAAAGACAGTCCCACTTTGTGGACTACTTCAGATCTTCTTTGGAAATGCAATTACTTCTGCTTCTGTATCTATTAAAATGCATTGATTCAGGACTGTCAGAGACTTTTACAGTCTGAGTGAAGCTTTTGCTGAATGTATTCAAGCTTTCTTTCCAATATTAGAAGACAATTCCTAGTTCCCCACATGGAAAATGATTTTAATTTATTCTGTATTCTGCCTACAGACATCTTTTGTCTCCTTTTACTGCCTCTCCACCTCTTATTGCCAAGGAAAATATCACTGAGATACTCTCCCCCCCACACACACAGATGAAGATAGAATAAGCCTGACTTTACAGGAATAAATACTTAGCAATTCTGAGTTGATGAAAATGCTCTTTAGGTTCTAGCAACGCATGGCAGAGGTGAGTCACAGTTAATTCTTAAAGAATATGTGTATTGTGGACATGCAAAATAAGCAGCATTTAATTTATTACCTGTAATCTTGATGCTCTGTACCTCTAAAAGTGTTAGCAATTCACATTAACTTTTTATCCTTATGGCTTACTGATTTCTTCTGCACATATTTACTTAAAACACAGTAAAACGCCAATGAAAAGGAATGGACATTCTGTGAAGGGATTATTAAACATCATTGATTTTTTTTTCGTTAAGATGGAGGCATAACTGCAGTGTCAAAAATAAGTATCATGAATGGCTAGTTCTGCAGTCTACCAGGGAATTCAATCAGACGATTTGACTATTGGAGCACTTTAAAAGATCACCTAGTGTTAGAAGCAAGGATATCTAGCGACTCCTTCAGTTCACACTTAGAATATCTCCTAGAAAAAAAAGTGTGCAGTGAGATGCTCCTTCTTGCATGTGCTATTTCATTTGTTCTATTCTACTTGCTCATATTTTATCTTAACCCAAGGAGAAATAAAACTGACCAATGCAAAATTGTGAGCATTCTCTTTTTACGTTCTCTTTCTTCTGATGAGTCGAAATAAAGTAGATTAGGCATCTTTAAAAGTACCTTTTTTTTTTTTTTTTTTTTTTTTTTTTTTTTTTTTTTTTTTTTTTTTTTTTTTTTTTTTTTTTTTTTTTTTTTTTTTTTTTTTT